TATGTTTGATCGCCTTGTTCATAATATGTTGCGAAAGTACACTACAATTGTCAGAGGTATTTTACCTACTCATTATAATGCCTTTTGCCCAGTTTAGTTAATTGTCTATATGTTGATTGGCTGTCATCTCCTTAAGGTGAAAATATTATTTCATTCGCTAACATGAATGAATTTTCTTCAGACATAATTCTGTATATACTTCCTTCTCTAGACTGGTCATTTCTAAACCTCAGTTAGATTTGAACTGAAAAATGTTTCAAATATCTGGGTATCATGCATCAGTTAACAATGTTTTGGCCCCCATATACACAATCTGGTACGTCTGGAGTTGGATAGATTTTCGTCTTATTCTCGAAATGCCCTCATATAGCCATAAGTTAATAGTCTTTTCCAGGTCAGTCCTATCGACCGCGTCCAACGGACTGGCGTTTTACCTAACGTAGGTGAAAGGGGTATTCAGGACATTAGGCGCTTACACTCGGACTGGTGTTCATGATGGTCTACCACGGGGACCTGGAAAACTCTGATTCCAAACCTATGGTGTACATGAGCTCCAAAACAGTTTGAATAGCATCTGAGGCGTCTTGGCCTCCGGCTATTACTAGAACGCAGCTACCAACACTGCCCTACTGCCTTGTGTATCAAACTCCATGTCAAAACCTTGGGATGCGAACCCCTGAAATGATCACCTGCTTCGGTCTGGCCTCCCTTGAATTATCTCAGACCTCGCACAAACTATGACACTATGTAGTGCCCATCTTGTTTGAACAAGATTGCTATTTTAAAATATCTTTAAAACTTATCACTAGGCATTTAACAAGATATTTTCATATTCTGTTTACAACCCTGATAATCCATATTTGTTGTTTTGATGTTTACGTTCATACAGGAAGCTTATGGCGAGAATTATTTATGCTCAGGGAGTTCTGAATCTGGCAACGGAATAAACAATGGCACGTTTCGTGGTTTAAAATGGCGTAATTTAAGACGAACAAGTAATAACGGCGGTAACAACAACAACAACAACAGCATCAACAATAATAATAACAACCCCAACCCCAATCTATTAGGTGTTGATCTTAATCAATCCGATTGTCATGTGTGTCAGTCACACCTGATCGACACTGCATTATCCCCGCCTACAGCTAATCTTCTGCCTAGAAATCAATATTTACCTTTGTCACAATTTAACAGTGTATATAATTTCAATGTAAATAACTATCCATCAAGTTATTGTTTAACTGGATTAAAAACTCTACTGACTACCTGTTTCTGTTTAATGAGTACTATCTATTGGATAAGTATATTTGCACAAGGTACGCTGCCTGAAACATGTCTTGGCGTATCAGTTTGTCAAATCATAGAAGTGGATCGTGGGTAGGTAGGTGTGATCGATCCTCTATTGAATATAAACACACATATAACTCCTAAAAAAAGCTTTTGTTTCAATTGGGAAGAGAAACTGTCAACTAACGATAATATCATTGCTATAATCTTAGGACTATAACGTATATCTGTATACTGAAGTTTTGCATACAATTACACATATAAATCTCTTCATATACATTATAGTATCTTATGTTTTAAATTCAAACCTTTTTTAAGTGCATAAAGAAATTAGAATATGTATACATATGCATTTGATGCGGTAGAACGAAACTGTGTTCTGAATATATAAGAAGGAAGGCATTTTGGCTTCACTGAAATGTTGAGCGATGTAAACTATCAGTGTATATTTTTATCTAATATTCGAAAATTAATAACCTTCTTCACTGGTTATTAAACCGAAAACAATGAAACATATATCCATATATATATATTTTTTGTTGTCTCTGTTCTTGTAAATAAACTTGTGTGAAGATGAAGCATTTTATTGTTAACATTTTGGTCGATTAATAAAATTTGAATCGGTAGACTGAACTATTTTTATTCATATTTTGAAGTTGAGATGAGAAGCAATACGTATTTTTTAAAGCTTTAATCTCATAGTGGCATCATCTGGTCTTAGGATTTATTATCCCTGGGTTCTAAGGGCTACATAGGGCTTCAACGGCACATCTCCTGTCGTCTATGGTCTTCTCTTCGAGCCGACTCCACAATTCGCCTATAGGATATTATTTCCTCCTCCTAGTACGATCTCCTCGATGCTGCACTCACACACGCGTCCAGCTCGTCGTTTGCCATTCTCGTCCCAATAGAAGGCTTCCCTGATGTGTGATATAACTCTGCGGTCAACTTACCATGTATCCAGTCCACTTCCGTTTCCTCCAGCATATTTGTTATGTGATAGGTTCTTGGTTGGTGTGTTGCCATACTTTCGTGTTGTCCAGCCTTTCTGGTCAGCTATCTGATCTTCAGTATAGAATCAGCTTAGACACCTATTGAAATGATATTATGGTAAGCTGTTGAATAGGGTTTTCGTGATGCGTGTGCCACGTCTGTGAACCATATATAAGAACTAAACTGACACCAGAGTTGAAATCTTCGAACTTGTTTCCCATGATGACTGCCGCAGATTTCTATTGATTTCAGAGTAGTGAACACCTGGTTAACTATTGCGATCCTGCATTTGACATCTTCGGTAGTGCTTCCTGTATTAGAAACATTGTTAACTAGGTAAGTGACTGAAGACAGCCTTCTTGTATTCCAGTCTTCAGCCCACAGTGTCCTTCTGCAATCTGTCCTTTGTGAATTACTCGACAAATATAGCACATTTCTGAGCACATTCCTAAGAGTCTCCGTACAAAATGAAGAAGAAAAGTGTTATCGAGTCCAATCGCCAGACATTTAATTGACACAGGACACACAGTAGAAATTAGCCAAGCCTTCAAAATAATCAATACGCAAAGAAACCCATGGCTACTTCGTTTCGCAGAAGCCATTGCTATCAAGAGACTTCGACCAGACCTCTATATACAGAAAGATAGTGTGACTAATCTTTCACTACCCTGGTAACCCTAATCCTGTTTTATTTTATTTTTGTTTTGCCTTTTTGTCAGTATGCCTGTGTGTTTGTCTTGTTACAAAACATTCTATTCAATTTTGAACTTCAAGTTTCTAAATCTACTTAATTGTCTGTTTAAGTTTTAAAAAAATGTTACTTCACTATTCACCCCCACCCTCTTAAACTCTCCACCACAAAATGTGTAAATTCACTCTGTTCTCTGACCCTGACCCTGTAATATGCCTCTAACCAATCTGTGTTTTCCAATAGAAATCGGAACTCTAACCCCTCTTATCTAATTCCATCATATATAATTAGGCATTTTTGACACTGAATAATCTGAACAAGGCATTAAGAAGACAAATTTCGCGAGATGACATCGTCATATCGTAGTTTATTCACAACCACCTTACAACTAACATGGTTAATAATGATAAAATAAAGTTCATGAAATTTACCCATACATACATACTAATGACCAATCATATTTAAAAGGTCATGTAGTCCAGGGTAGACGAAGATTGAAGTCTATTGATTTTTGTACACACAATTTAGGCTGCCTGTGATTAATCCAAAGTGCTTCCATCACCTTCAATAACCAAACTTGAATTAGAGTTATGTGAAATAATTGTGAAACAGTCATTAATATTGATTTTGTGACCAGACATTAATAAGTGTTTTGCAATGGATGATGCTGGATTTCTATTAAGATTAATCGCGTTAGGATTTTCGATATGATTTACTAGCCATTTTGGAACATCTTCTTTTCGACCACGACATTGGAACATTCTATTGGTTTTACCTATATAGATGTGTGTCACCGCAGCTGCAGATGAACTTGTAGATACAGTTTGAAGTACAGTCCACAGAATTTCGTCCTTTAATCGTAGGAACAGGGATCGAAAATGTTCGGCAAGTGAGAAAAAGAGATGTGGCGGCGTAGAATGTGCGTTTGATGGCTGATCGAAGTCTTTGAGCTAGCTGTCAACTGCATAATCTGTCTTTTCGAGATGTGGTTTTTCTTTACTGTGACAAGTGATAAAGCTCTCTGGAAAACCATTAGCTAATAAAACTGAATATACATGTCGAAGCTCATCCATCAGTGTGTCACTCGTGCATATTTTTCGGGCCCTTGAGAACAAACATTTCACACTACAGAACGTTTATACTGGATAGGAACAAAACTGGTAAAATGAAAATATTGTCCAGTCCATGTCTGTTTACGAAAAATAGAGCGCTGAATCGTTCCATCATTTCTCCTAATCATAGTAATATCCAGGAAACCGAGTTTGTTATTCGATTCTAGTTCGGAAGTCACTCGAATATTTGGATGAATATGATTAAATAGAGTAATGAAGTTTTCAATAGATTTACTATTATTACCAATAATAAGAGTATCGTCTGCATAACGTTTATACAGCATAAATTCTCCAAGCATACCTTGCATTTGTTTCTCTAATTTCGACATAAATATATCTGCTAACAGGGGCGCCAGAGGGCTCCCCATCGCAACACCATCCATTTGTTTACATGCCTTTTCTTGGAATGTGAATCTAATATTTTCTGTACACATTAAGATGATGTCTTTGATGTAAGTGACGGGAATGGGTAAGTTTATGCCGTTGCTTGTGATGTAATCGCAAATAAAATCAACAGTTTCATGAAGAGGAACATTGGTGAATAAAGATTTTATGTCAATTGAACACATAACCTTTTCCTTAATGTCCAAGGTGTTTAGCATTTCTGTAAGATCAAATGAACTTTATACAGAATGATTTGATAATGAGTCTCTTACAGGCGTAAGAATAATCTATCTACCTGGATCAAATTCTGGAATTATGTTCCTTATACCTTCTACTTATTGTTAATCGCGATAGATAGGTACATAGATTGACGGACATCTAATCGATATATGTGACCAATTGTCGCGATTATTGGCTAATTTAATGTAACTCTAACCACTTGATGTGACCTTGAACGTTGTTTGTTTCCTGTCACTCTATGGTGTGTGTGTGTGTATATGTAACTAATTAACTGTTCATTTTGTCTGTTCCTTCAGTACTCTTCGGTATGTTTTTGTCTTTTCTTGAGTTACAATGGATTTGTGCCTTTCTTGGTGTAATTGTACGCTTTATTTTATGTTTTAGAAACAGATAAAGTTAAAGTCAAGTTATTGTGTTTTTAACTATAGTTAAGCTAAGACTCTGTATCGTCAGTACTGAGGACGGACTAAATCTGTAGGCCAAACTAATCCAACAGAGTTTCGAACAGTATGGCAGATGAAAAATATGAAACTATGCCGACGTTATCTTCACAAGCAGAAATGAATGGTGATATTGATGCCTCTGCAAGCAACGAGTATAAGTCACGCTATATGGTAGAATTGGAGCTAGCGAAAATGCGCATAGTCCAAATCGAGAAAGAAATTGAATTGGAAAAATTACGGCAAGCTAGCCGTGAATGTTCTGACCGTAAGAAGTCTCCTTGCAAGCCTTCTACTTCTCATACACTCGCTGTGTCTCCTAGTGATGAGTTCGCCAGAGCCTTGTCCAAGTTCCTGGACATGCCTAAACGAGAGATTATTAAGTTTGACGGTAATCCTGCAAATTATTGGAATTTTATAAAGAATTTTGAAGACTTGGTGGATAATGAGGCTATTGGTTACCGAATCAAGGTAAATTACTTGATTCAGTATTGTGAGGGAGAAGCGAAAGATGTGATCAAACACTGTGTTTTGTTAGAGCCAGAGGAAGGTTATCATAAAGCCCTTGAACTGTTAGAAGAAGCATTTGGGCAAAAGCATGTTGTGGCCCGGACCTTCATAGAGAAACTCCTAGAATTTCCGAGTGTTAAAAGCAACGATGCAGGATTATTAAGAAAGTTATCTCACGCGATGCAGGCCTGTGAACTAGTATTAAAGCAAGTGAACTATGTTTCAGACTTGAATTCTGGTAGAACTATTGAACTAGTTCTTAAACTCCCTGTCCATTCATAGAGAGAATGGATAAAAGTCGCTTGCAACGTTATAAAGAGCGGTTGAAAACCATCATTTATTGACTTATGCTTGTTTGTCAAGGAGCAGTCAGATATGGCTAACACCAGGTATGGGCTGCTAATCAATGGTTATTCTACGGGAAAAAATGACAAAGAGTTTAGCACCCCTACGAAGAAAAACTCTGGTTCTAAACATCGAGTGTTTATCACCCGGCTCTCAGAGACTAATGTCGAAAAACCGAATAACGATCCTAAGAATGAGTCACGTTTATTTGTCCCATCTTGTATATTATGCTTGGGAAGCGATTTCCTAGAACAGTGTTTGGAGTTTATAGATAAAGACCTTGATGAGCGTTTGGCATTTGTTTCTAAGAGAAAACTATGCAATGTCTGTTTAAAGGCAAATCATATAGCAAAGAATTGTCGTTCTCCGAGGTCCTGTACTGTTGAAGGTTGTGGTTGGTGACACCATACACTGCTGCAGAGAGGCCAGGGATTATCCGACGATATAAAAAATGATGTACATATCAACGCTCAACAGTGCAGTGATTTGACTTTGCACAAGACTTCGACAAATGAGACAGCATTCGCCATAGTGCCCGTTTTAGCCAGATATAATGGTAATGTTGTTCAAACCTGTGCATTTTTGGACAGCGGTTCTGACGCAACATTGGTCACAGAAGATGTAGCGAGGGAATTAGATGTAGCAGGAGCAACTAAGACAGTTTCCCTTAAAACTCTTGCTTCACCGTCCACTTTGTCTTGCTAACAGATGCAACTAGAAGTCTCTCCGTTGGATTCGTCCCTTCATCTTACTGTTCCCAAAGCATGGACAGTACAGAAGTTGCCACAGTTACAAAGGGTTGTACCAACAGCAGATCAGATGGCCTCATGGAGTCTCCTAGACAGAATAGGTTTACTGGAGGTTAAGAATGAAGAAATTAAGATGCTTATTGGTTGCAATGTGCCAGAAGCTCACACAACGATCGATAAAAGGCTTGGAGGAGCTAACGAACCTTGTGCCATAAAGACTCCTTTGGGATGGACATTACTGGGACCCTACAGGCAGACCTTTGGAGAAACTAACATGGTCAATCATATCTTAGCCACAGAAAAAATTGAGACTATGTTTGAACAGTTCTATAAGAATGAGTTTGACGCGATGAGTGGTCAAGTGCCTAGGCCTGTTGAAGATCGTAAGGCTTTGAGTATTATGTTAGAGTTCAAACAGTTGGTTGACAGATATTATCAAATAGCACTTCCATGGCGTCGACAACATATTTTACCTAATAATAGAAAACTGGTGATGAATAGACTCAATTCGTTGAGAAAACGCCTCTGTCAAGACTCAGACCTGCATAAAGAGTATACCAATGTAATGTCTCAGTATATTGAAGGAGGTTTCGCTAAAATGGTCGAAGAAGATCACGTTAATGGACAGGTTTGGCACTTGCCACACCGTCACGGTTTCGCTCTTGTGATTTATTGCATGGTTTACCTCTATCGCCTTCGGTCCATCTTCCGGCCAGCAGCATGTTACTTCACTTCTGTTAGTTTATTGAGAACATCAAAGCAACCTGTTCTTCCCCGTATTATGGACTTCTACGTAGATGTCCCATCTCCTGTTCACTGTCTTGACGTAATTGATGCATTCCGTTCACTTAGTAAAAGTGAAAAAGATTATGTCTTCAGCTCCTCACAGGCATCATGGGTTGGTGGTCTGATTGGTTTAATTCAAGCATCCCCAGAATCTGCTGGAATATTCCTATTTATTTATCGATTCAGGTCCCGAGATATCTATTCATTCACTGAAGAAGCGAAAAGGAACTTTTCTAAGGAGGAGATAAACCACTTGCTATCGTACCTTGCATCAGTTCTAGATGACTTTGGAAGTTACTTGTCTTTTGAAGCTACTAAGTTCGTTCCAGCTATTACTTTGAGTAGAGTAACAGAGCTTCTATCAGTGAATAGCGCATTTTCTAATCCAGAGACAAGTCTCAAAGCTTCGTGAGAAGAAGTAGCTTCTGCAATATATTCATTAAGCTCCCGTCGTTTAAGCCTTGGATTCGGTACAACTGAAATAATAACTTACTACTCCGTAAACTGTACTCATAGTGATACTGAGTTAATTCAAAGGTACGTGGAAAGTATAAAAACCGAACCATGTAATACACAACCTTTCAAAAATGCCGATTCCAAAACAAAGGTTTACTCCCTTTGGTCTGCGTCAGCTGAGAAATCTGTCCAACCCATATTTTATGATGGCCTTCCCTCGGACACATCTTTGCACCTTGAATATGGTGACTATAGTGAGCTGATGAAGTTACTAGTCGATTGTTGTAAAAATTCTAAAGCACATTCGCTTAACCAAATCGAATCAGAAATGTGGCATCAGTATGCTGAAAGCTTCACTACTAGCTCAGTAGTTACTCATAAAGAGGCCTCCAGGTTATGGGTTAAAGATAAGAACCCTGTTGTTGAAAACTATACTGGGTTTATAGAGTCATACCGTGATCCCTTTGGTGTTCATGCAAAGTTTGAATCATTTGTCGCTGTCGTAAATAGATTAGTGTCTACCGAATTCTGACGATTTGTAAATAATGCTGAAAGGTTGTTAACAAATTTACCATGGCCTTTTACATTTGAAAAATTTAATTTCTTACAGCCAGACTTTATTAGTTTGGATGTAGTGACGTTTAAAATTTCTGGAAATCCTGTTGAAACTAATATTCCTAACTATGGATTTAAAAATGTTTCTTTGGATAATGTACTTAGTGCTCGTTTCACGGATCCTAAATCAGAATTTCTACGTAATGAAGACAAACAAATCTACGTGAAACATGCTGAAAGTTCCTTTGAATTACAAGTTGGACTTTATGAACTGTTGGGAAATGGTTCTGGTAAACTGTTTTGGGATGATTGTTATGGAAAACGAAATTTCCACACGAAAACTACCGAAGATATCATACATGGGGATCCTGTAAAAGGTTGATATGAACCAAGAGAAACGTATGACAACAAGTTTTCAAACCTTTCCTCTGCAGTAGATAAGTGTCGAGCTGAGTGCGTTGGAATTTATTTATCTGATTTACCTCTTGCTCTGGAGCAGTTTGGTTTGAATATTCACTGTGCTCAAGGCGATGTCCCAGATGTAGTCTATGTTAATTGGTTGTCAGTGTTTTCTGCAGTTGCAACTTTCATGGAGTTTTATTCTCCAGCAGAAAATCCTGATGACAATGGGTCATGGTGTCAAGCACGCTGTTATGCTTGTTATGCAACTCTGTGAGTTTTGATTGAAGCTGACGATTCTATGGTATGTATAGATGAAGTACTCGGTGAGGACGATGCACCTGATTTGTGTATTTTCTTTGGTCGTAAAAGGCTTTTAACTGGTGAATTCTTAAGAAAATTACAATATTAAAAAAGTAAGGTAAATGCTAAAGATGGATGTGCTTTCTTCCAACACTATAGTCAACTGCTATCGCAACATTTGACTGGCATAGGTGGCTACGTGAATATCTTCCGATGCTGCAAGCAAGATCTAAATGGTTGGATGTAAAGCGTAACCTACAACCTGGTGATCTCGTCCTAGTTAACAGTACTGACACAGAGAGGTTTCTGGCAAAGGCTATAGTTAAGCAGGTGTACTATGACCAAGATGGCCGCGACAGGACGGTACGTTTGAAAACTGCAACTCAAGAAGTCGAACGGGATAAGAAGCGTATGTTTGTTGGAAGAAGCAGACAATTTGAAGGTTCCAGATACGACAAGTCAACGTGGTGATCGTTCGCGGGGTGTGTTAATCGCGATAGATAGGTACATAGATTGACGGACATCTAATCGATATATGTGACCAATTGTCGCGATTATTGGCTAATTTAATGTAACTCTAACCACTTGATGTGACCTTGAACGTTGTTTGTTTCCTGTCACTCTATGGTGTGTGTGTGTGTATATGTAACTAATTAACTGTTCATTTTGTCTGTTCCTTCAGTACTCTTCGGTATGTTTTTGTCTTTTCTTGAGTTACAATGGATTTGTGCCTTTCTTGGTGTAATTGTACGCTTTATTTTATGTTTTAGAAACAGATAAAGTTAAAGTCAAGTTATTGTGTTTTTAACTATAGTTAATAATAATAATAATAATAATAATAATAATAATAATAATAACAGCTTTATTCCAAACAGTATTTGTGGTACAGGTATGGAATTTTCAGCGTGCATTACAGTATATTGCATCTAATTACCTCATAAATTATATAAGATTTTTAAAAATCAAAGATAAATAAATAAAAATAAAATAAATTAGTTATAAATAAATAAAATAAATAAATATTAAAAATTAAGAAAAAAAAACAACGTAGAGTATTTCATTTCAAACAATGCAACACAGGATTTGAAATATAAAGTTGATGTGTGGTACTAGATGAGAACAACAGTGTGATAGTAACGAGGAAAGGAAAACAAAAACTAATGGGACTATTTGTTAGAGTGCCGCAGTAAGTTTATCGTGTCATACCTAACGGATTTCTCATCACATAACAGCTGTGCCAGATATGGTATTGTGGAGTTTTTGTATTTGGTAGTCCTAGCATATAGCCTCCTGTAGCTGCTTCTAGTTCTTCCAGATGAAATGCAAGGAGATAGATGCGTATAGAGAGGATGCTTGGGGTCCGACAATATTGTATTCGCTAGTTTCTTACATGACATAATATGTCTATCTACAATAGTGTTCACCAGTTGGTTTAACGATAACCCACTTGCCCTACTAACAGCTTTTAGTGCCCTTCTCAGCGAAGCAAAGTCTTTCTTAAGTAGTCCAGGAAAGACTAATGGGGAGCAGTAAAGGAGGATGGGTAGAATACAAGAATTTACAAACTGAGAAAGTAAAGACTGGTTTATGCCAGACTGCCTAAATTTCCTAATGTAGAACGTTAAGCGAAACATCTTTCTAGTAACTAGCAAGATGTGGGAAGACCAGGAAAGATCGGTGGAAAAACTCAGCCCAAGGTACTTGACATAAGATGTATTTTCAACCTCTGTGCCGTCAATGAGAGTGGGGCCATGTGAGCTAACTAGTTGCTGTAGGTCACATTTACGTCTGAAAGTGAAATTGACTACCTGACATTTAGACGGATTAAGCTTAAGTCCGTTTGAAGAGGACCACTGACTAATTTCCGACAGAAAGCTATTTAATTTGGAACAATCTGACTGAGAGTTGACAGGCATAGAAACCGAGAGGTCATCGGCATATTTAACAAAAGTGGCTACATCAGAATGAGGCAAGTCATGTAAGAAAAACGAGAACAGAAAGGGAGAAAGAACAGCACCTTGAGGAACACCAGCTAAAGTAAGTGAGGTAGTGGAGGATTTTCCATTGTAGACGGTGTACTGCTTCCTTTCAGAAAAATAGGAATGCAACCACTTATTTGTCCAGCTTTCAGCCTGTGTTGCAGCAAGCTTACTTAGCAAGAGAGACCTGGGAACAGAGTCAAATGCAGATGTGTAATCAAGGAAGGCACAGCGAACGTATTTAGCTCCTTTATCTAAACTAGAGACTATGCTATGGTGGAGGACGACAGCGGCATCTAACGTACTCCTACTATGTTTATAAGCAAACTGGTTGGGGTCGTTGAAAGGTTTTAAAGAGGGATCAAGATTAAGTAAAATAAGTCTTTCCATAACTTTCAAAAAGGGTGAGGTAATTGAAATGGGTCTAAACTTAACATTAGGTCCACTTGTAGATTTAGGCACTGGAACGATCTTGATGTTTTTCCATGATTCAGGTATAATACTTTTGGAAAACGATTCGTTGAAAATGTCAGTTAGCGGGGAACACAAGATGTCGGCACACTCCTTAAGGATAACAGCAGGAACACCATCAGGACCGAGGGACTGAGTAGGCTTGAGAGATTGAAGACACTTGAGGACATCGTATGTGTTTAAGCATGAGAAGCAGTCATTGTTTACACTATTTGAGTTAGGAATCATAACATTTGCTGGGATACATATGAAGGATTCATTTAGCATGTTAACATCTACAGAAATATCATTCAACATTTGCTTACCACCTGTGATTTCCTTTAATAACTTCCACATATTTGATGGGGATTTACATGAAAGAAACTTCTGGTTATAGAGAGCATTCAATCTTTGTAATTCAAGCTTAATCAAAGTGTTCATTCTCTTAACACCAGATTTGTTTTTCATTTTGAACAACCTTTCTTTTTCACGGCGGAGCTTTTTGAGTTGAGAAGAGGAGAAGCGATCGAATTTTAAGAAGATTGTCTCTTTTGGACAACAAACATCAAGACAGAAATTAAGATAATGTGTTATGTTGGCAATTGTGTTATCAAGAGCTTGTTCAGTAAATAGATCCCAGTTTGTGTCTTTTAACATGGACCTTAGGTTCAGTATGTTGTCATGGGAATAACATCTGTGTTGTGTTTTCTTTCCAAGGTATGAGAAGACCCTTTTGTGCTGCTTTCCATATACTTTGGGCAATATTCTTATGATACAGTGATCTGAATTTAGTAGTGGGGCTCTTTTTCGAGCTTCAAATATTCCTGCATCGTTTGTAAAAACAAGGTCAAGAGTGTTGTCCATTCTAGTCGGGAAGTTGACAATATTATCGTGTCCCAGTGAAATTAGGAAGCTGTGGTCACTAGAATTAAAATCACCAGTAACTATAGACAAGGAATTTCCGAAGGAGGTGGCAGCAAGGGAAGTAAATTCATCCGCAAATAAAGATAATTCTGTGGAGTTGCATCCAGGAGCAATATACATGTTCGAGATGTAAATGTAGTTGTATTTAGACAAATGTCTAGGTCGACACTTAACGGTGAGACAGTCAATATTATCACTAGAGAATTTGAAACATACATTATTAGACGTACACCATTGTGAATTGATGAAGATGGCGACACCGCCACCGCGTTTCTTCCTGGAACTACACCGATCTTGTCTGAATAGTTTGAAATTATTTAGATACACTAGATTGTCATCATATAGATCATGAAGCCATGTTTCTTGAAGTGATATGATCCCAGTATTATGATATATAATGGAAGACACCAGCGATTGAAGACAGTTAATTTTAGCCGGCAGGGAGCGACAATTGGTACTCATAATTGCGGGAACAGTCATGAATTGAATAGGGGTATTTTTTAATGCTCTCTGCCAGCCGGCATGATGCTTTTTCTTGTCTTTTTTATGGAGTTGCAGATCAGTAGGTTTTAGAGATATTAGATATTCACGAGAATAAATAATCCGATTTGAGGTCATATTTGAATAAGATTTATTGATTAAAATATCAATTAGAAATGAGAAATTAGATGCAATATGATTTGTAATGTTTAAGGTAACTGGTAGCCCAAGATTTAAGCAGGCCGCCAAGGTCAACATAACAAGCTAAGACTCTGTGTCGTCAGTACTGAGGACGGACTAAATCTGTAGGCCAAACTAATCCCACACTTATAACTCCAAGTAATTATGAAAAAGTATGTTCCAAAACTTTTTTGAAACTTAAAATTTGTTTTTGTTTAGGATGTATGCAGTTGATGAGTATCCACGAAATAAAACGAGCTCGTATTATCCTGCAAACATGTTCGTTCTTTCTCTCTTCAAAATATAACATCATCATGTAGCTGTTGAGTGAGTTTTATATAGGTTCAGGTATTTCATAGTGTGAGAAGTGGCTACCAAACTACTTCACAGTCAATAGTGTCTAATGCTTTTTCAGAGTCAATGGAGCTGAGGCAGAGATTCGGCCTCCATCCTATGCTCCATTTCATAGTAATGTGTAGCGTTACACTTTAATCCGCGCAAGACTTATTTTACCTAAATCCAACTTGTTCCAGGCTGTCTTGAATTCACAGCTTCTTTTAGTCTCTCTGGGATGATGCAGCCTAATATTTTGCGTTTGAACATCTACTGATACTCAGCAGAAATTGGCTCACCCCTCGACGGCAATGTACTTTTGCCAATACAGAAGATGTTTCTCATAGGGAATCCAAAAGTCTGTCATATGCAAAACCAGTGAGAGGAGACCATAAAACCTATTATAACCTTGTTGTTGACCAGAGAAAACCATTTTGTCAAGCGTGTGAACTCAAAATGGAAATCGCAAAACTCAGAAAACTCTAACAAATTGTAGTGGTTTGTAACAGTGGCTAATCAGCGGAGTAGTGATGGAAATATAAGTCCATCACTATACTTTGGCAAAATAAAGAGCTAATGTTCAAGTGTTGGTTTGTAAGGACTTGATGGTTGATATGATAGTGTCGTGAGTTGACATAGGTTATAGAACCACGAAAAAAACCATCTGGGAGTACTGGACAGCTGATTCATATAAGTTTCAGACTGTTCATGAATACGCACCTGGAGCAGTTAGAATCAAAGATTTTTTGGTAAGAAGGCAGGCACGTAGATCACTCAACTACGGGGACCACATATAATCTGCAAACTATTAACTTTTAAATTCTGTCAATTAACGACTGAGCACAACTGGGAATAGCTGGATTATTTGAATTTACATCCGACGAATAATGATCAACAGATAGGGGAGTCACAGCAGAATCCTGGAAGATACATATATGATTAGGAACAATGGTTCAATAACAGACGTCAGCCCATGATGAAATCCTACACAGATAGTATATTTCATATACAAGAGATCATCTTTGACATTGTTTATTCATAAGACTGACTCTTCAGTGCATACTGGCTAATAACTTCCTTTGTTTACCTTAGTGATACTCTAGTCTGTCTTACTGTCTACTGTCTAAGAGAATCCATCTGTCTTTATTCTTGACGATTATCTGGTCACACCCACTACCGCATAAATGGTGTTGCCTTAGTACTCCTCGACAATTTTGTGCATTGAGTTATCTCAATAGATATCACTTATCTGAATGAAACTCAAACTTAAACGTCATCAAAGTACTCACTACAAGTTGATTGTGCGCATATGGATCTCCTTGGAGAATAAACTTCATTTCCTAATGACGAAAAATACTTAGGTCTTAGCTGAAATATTTCTTTCAGAATAGCC